TTACTAATACGTAAAGAGTAAAAGAAAATCTACGATCTTCATATCCTTCCAAAAACAGTTTCTTTATTCAAATATAACATTTTTAGTGTTTAATACCTATTAATCATATCTATCATTTCTACAGTATAATCTAAATCAGAGATATTTAATCTCTTTCTTCTTTTTAATCTATAATGATGCCAATAAACTAATTATTCAAATTCCAAAACATGCAAGAAGATATATCTTTTATCGAAACAACAAAAAGAAAATAGGTGTAATTTTTATACACTCCTAACAACTACTACTGCATGGAATATTGCCATTTTTCTTTGACAAATAAAACAAAACCACAACTGATGTAAATAATTAATTTTATCTGACAACAATGTCGCAACAAGAAATAAATAAATTAAAATAAAATTTGTTGATTAATAAATTAATAAATTAGATAAACTAACACACACATAATATTACATATAATACCTCAAAGCTATTAACCAAAATCTGATAACAATGTCATAGTAAAGAATCAATAAAATTTATAAACTTCATAATTAAAATAAAATAATATTCGTTAATTAATAAATTAATAGATGGAATAAAATAACATCCGCACAATATTATATGAGTCGTTCACTGCACAAATCGATTAACTCCACTTTTTGAAAAATCTTAAATTTAAGTGTCAAAGCACTTGGTATAGTCGTAACTTTTTATATTTATAATAACTTTCCCTGATAATTAAGATTAACACCATTAAACGACAAAAATTTGTTGGCCACTGAATAATAAATAATTTATTTCAGAGCTCACTTTGATTAACTCCGAACTCTAATGCAAATCGTTGCAATAATGCAACTCAAATGCACTAGCAAGCCATGAATGATAACGGTGAATTTTTTAGTCCCGTCCTATCAGAATTTAAGTAAAATTTAGTAAAATTTAAATTTATTACTTTTTCTACTTGCTAAATCGATTAACTCTTCCAGTAACGTAAAAATGGTAACATTACTAACGATTACCTTTTGGCTATTTTTTCTTATAAATTTTATATACCGTTAGATGAAAGTTACATTTGTATTTATGCATTCTACGATATTTATTTCGATTTAAATTATAAAGGGAATTTTAAAAAACAATATACATTATTTCATTGCGTTTCTCCACTTTTTGTTTCATGAAGTTAACCAATTTGTGCAGTGAACGGCTCATATATAACTCGAAAATATTAACCAAAGCGTATATATGTTCAACGTTAGATATTATAGATTATATACATATATAGATACATCTTGCACTCCCTACCTGTAATTTGTAAGGATTCAAGGACACATAGAATATCAAGTGGCGCCTACTAATTTTCGCCAGTTTGTATTCCGGCTCTTACTTACTGCGACCACGCCAGAGCAAGTAAGTGACCACTTTACGCATACCGAGGATTCAGTTAATTACACGTCGCGCAACAATCAAGGTACAAAGCCGTCAGGATCTCGGTTAAAGAAATCAACAAAAGATCACGGGTGGCGAGCACGGCGAGGATCAGCCGGCTATTCACATTCTTCTTGGCTATTAACGGACGGTGTGAATCACCATTTTATCCTCGAATTATACAAATCGAGTCGGGTGCTTTGTGCGGTTCGAACAAACGATCGAAGGAAGCCGAAAACTCCACAGTTTCGGAGGTCGTTCTCTGACCTACTGCCAGAGAATTCGAGGACGAAGTTGTGTCAATAGCCTATGATGTTACGGTTAGTTACACGTCGACTTTCAAATCTTCTACGTATACATGTGAAAATTAACGAACTCGCTCGAATATCGCGTGTAAAATATGGTTAATGACCTTGGCTCCACACGATTCCTCATTTTTTATAGTTTTGTTGAACTATGTTATTTAATAGGCCAGACTGTGCAACCTGGCAACTCTTTGTCCTTTGCTTTGATAACTTTGCGATTTTTATCAGTTTTCAGGGGAAATATACTGCAGTAATGTGATGAGAGGATATAGTATAATATTATAGAATAATGCTATAATAATAATTGTAATGAGCGTAATTAATAAATTATCTTATATAAACGTGAAAATTAATTTTATATTTCAAAATAAGTTAAACAGTTAATAATAGTTCCAGAAATCTTAATATTGTTATAAAAATAGTAAAAGATATTGGATAAATATACTACAATAATAATATAGATATAGTAACATTCAGAATAATGCCACAATAATAATTTTAATGTGTGTAATTAATAAATTACCCTGTGTAGACGTGCAAATTAATTTTATACTTCAAAATAACAGCATAATAGTTCCAGAAATCTTAAGATTGTTATAAAAATAGTAAAAGGTATTGGATAAATATACTACAATAACAATATAGTATACCTTGATAATATCTACCATAATGATAATAATAATACCAATATGTATAATTAACAAAATATTTTGTGTAGACATTAAATACTGTAAAGTACTCGTTAATATTATAACAGTAGTAATTATGTGTATAATTAATAAAATATTTTAAGAAAATATGAAAATTGAGCTTGTACTTGAAAATAATATTAAATAATAATAATTCCACAATTCTTAAAACTGTAAGAAAACTACCAAAAGCTTTTTACAATATATATTTGAAACAATGTGTATAATTAATAAAACTTAATACGTAATGTTATAAAATAAATAAAATAAAATTTAATATCTACGAAACATAAAATTTAACGTTATATTTTAAAAATAATAATTCCAAAATCTTTAAAATTATGATAATATGAACAAAAGACAGGAATATAAATATCATCCATGATTTTGATGAGGTTCAAAAAGAGTAATTTGGTGAAAATATAAATACGCGAATAATTTTCACGACTATTAAATTAATCAAAAAAATTCAGACAAATTTTTAAAAATTCCTCACGAGTATATAATAATAATGACTCTCGTCAAAGTATAATTTCTTCACAAGGGAAACAATAAAATCATTTCAATAGTAGTATCTAGTAAATAAAAATTAAAATTACATTTAAATCATATTAATTTATTTATTTCAATTTAGATCAGCGATTTCCAAGTTTCATAGAATTCAAGTGACATTTAATGAATATGGAATACGACGGAAAAAAGAATATCACGGATAAATTAAGCATCGCAATTTACTCCAGCATCGACGAAATTCATTACTTCATGCCCGACGAGTTAAGGCTCCCTGGACACTGTAATACGACTCGCTATATAGTGAGCTTTTTATAACCTAAATTAGCGAAGCAAAAATACTGACCGAACAACAACCATAATTTTCGCGCATTTTTTCTCGCACGCATAACAGAATCACGCGCAGTAACAGGAGAAAGAGAAAAAAAGTCGACATTCTTCCTGATCTCGATGATATATGGTCATTCGGTAGTAAAGCGATTGGCTGGACATCATCTGCATGATGCGAATCAAGTGTTGATCGATCGACGATTACCCTGAGGCTCGGAACAGAAGCGCAGTAAATGTGAAATGCGAGTGGTATTAAAGCGGATAGCTGGTTAAAGCAACCCGTACACGAGTCTCATACTCGTGTATATACGTATATTACGCAAGGCTCGCGTCACTAGCGCCCTCGCGGCGGACGAGGAACTAAGAAAAAATAGTCGAGCGCGTATCATGATATTCGAACGTTATGGCGCTACTGGCTCGAGCATTTAGAGCTTTGTAAACCTATCTCGATCGTTTCGACACCTACGATTGGTAATTTTGATAAACAGACTTGCGCTGAGAGTGCCACTAGCACCGAGTAAATTTGATTATTAAATACAATACTTTGAAATATTATACATGTGAAAATTAACGAACTCGCTCGAATATCGCGTGTAAAATATGGTTAATGACCTTGGCTCCACACGATTCCTCATTTTTTATAGTTTTGTTGAACTATGTTATTTAATAGGCCAGACTGTGCAACCTGGCAACTCTTTGTCCTTTGCTTTGATAACTTTGCGATTTTTATCAGTTTTCAGGGGAAATATACTGCAGTAATGTGATGAGAGGATATAGTATAATATTATAGAATAATGCTATAATAATAATTGTAATGAGCGTAATTAATAAATTATCTTATATAAACGTGAAAATTAATTTTATATTTCAAAATAAGTTAAACAGTTAATAATAGTTCCAGAAATCTTAATATTGTTATAAAAATAGTAAAAGATATTGGATAAATATACTACAATAATAATATAGATATAGTAACATTCAGAATAATGCCACAATAATAATTTTAATGTGTGTAATTAATAAATTACCCTGTGTAGACGTGCAAATTAATTTTATACTTCAAAATAACAGCATAATAGTTCCAGAAATCTTAAGATTGTTATAAAAATAGTAAAAGGTATTGGATAAATATACTACAATAACAATATAGTATACCTTGATAATATCTACCATAATGATAATAATAATACCAATATGTATAATTAACAAAATATTTTGTGTAGACATTAAATACTGTAAAGTACTCGTTAATATTATAACAGTAGTAATTATGTGTATAATTAATAAAATATTTTAAGAAAATATGAAAATTGAGCTTGTACTTGAAAATAATATTAAATAATAATAATTCCACAATTCTTAAAACTGTAAGAAAACTACCAAAAGCTTTTTACAATATATATTTGAAACAATGTGTATAATTAATAAAACTTAATACGTAATGTTATAAAATAAATAAAATAAAATTTAATATCTACGAAACATAAAATTTAACGTTATATTTTAAAAATAATAATTCCAAAATCTTTAAAATTATGATAATATGAACAAAAGACAGGAATATAAATATCATCCATGATTTTGATGAGGTTCAAAAAGAGTAATTTGGTGAAAATATAAATACGCGAATAATTTTCACGACTATTAAATTAATCAAAAAAATTCAGACAAATTTTTAAAAATTCCTCACGAGTATATAATAATAATGACTCTCGTCAAAGTATAATTTCTTCACAAGGGAAACAATAAAATCATTTCAATAGTAGTATCTAGTAAATAAAAATTAAAATTACATTTAAATCATATTAATTTATTTATTTCAATTTAGATCAGCGATTTCCAAGTTTCATAGAATTCAAGTGACATTTAATGAATATGGAATACGACGGAAAAAAGAATATCACGGATAAATTAAGCATCGCAATTTACTCCAGCATCGACGAAATTCATTACTTCATGCCCGACGAGTTAAGGCTCCCTGGACACTGTAATACGACTCGCTATATAGTGAGCTTTTTATAACCTAAATTAGCGAAGCAAAAATACTGACCGAACAACAACCATAATTTTCGCGCATTTTTTCTTGCACGCATAACAGAATCACGCGCAGTAACAGGAGAAAGAGAAAAAAAGTCGACATTCTTCCTGATCTCGATGATATATGGTCATTCGGTAGTAAAGCGATTGGCTGGACATCATCTGCATGATGCGAATCAAGTGTTGATCGATCGACGATTACCCTGAGGCTCGGAACAGAAGCGCAGTAAATGTGAAATGCGAGTGGTATTAAAGCGGATAGCTGGTTAAAGCAACCCGTACACGAGTCTCATACTCGTGTATATACGTATATTACGCAAGGCTCGCGTCACTAGCGCCCTCGCGGCGGACGAGGAACTAAGAAAAAATAGTCGAGCGCGTATCATGATATTCGAACGTTATGGCGCTACTGGCTCGAGCATTTAGAGCTTTGTAAACCTATCTCGATCGTTTCGACACCTACGATTGGTAATTTTGATAAACAGACTTGCGCTGAGAGTGCCACTAGCACCGAGTAAATTTGATTATTAAATACAATACTTTGAAATATGTTTACATATAAGATACTCGAATCAAGTGAATTTTTATTGTAATATAATATTATAATAAATATTACATTATAATATTTTTAATATAATTTATAATAGTGTCATTACTCTATATCTTGATATGAAATTTTATGTAAGATAATAAGTAAACTTTTTAAAATTTTTTAAAAATAAGGGTAAAATTTCACAAAGAATTATGGAATATTCGTTACTTTAATACGTGTAAAGAAACAGATGTTTAAGAGAATTATTTTTTAAAATAAGATCATGATCGACAAAATATTTTTAAATTTTTACGATATTAAAAACAGTTTGAAAATGTCACTTTTCATATATCGTTATATCCTTTAGCAGCAAGAAACGTTATTTTTCGTATAGAAAATTTGATTTCTAATATATTTATTAAGGAGGAATTAGTTTTGTTGTACTTACCTGATCACCGACTCCGTGGAAGGGACTTCCCGTCCAGGAATCATGATTTTCTCATATTTGACACCAAAGTTTGTGAATTCCTGTAACAGAACGATATGAAAAATAAATAACAATGATTAATTACAAACATTTTTGAAATATTACAAAACGGATATTTTTAATAAACACTTGTCTAATTGTCCACCTCCCTGATTTTTGCAAATTTAGATTATTAATGTACATTAAGCTAATTAGCATTACAAATTATAATAAAACAATAGAAATTTGAAAGAATAAGAAATTAATAATTCACATAGAAAATTATAATAAGAAAAATAAACTTCTTTTGTTTATATTATTAATAGAATTATTTATACGACTAACGAACATTTTTGTAACATAGAATTTTTACTTTATTACTAATTAACTTCAAAACTAAAATGAATAAATAAGTTGTTACACTATGTATGTAACACTCGTTTTATCAATTATTAATTACTTTTTATTATGTTTACCTCCAATTTTAATTCTTTCTTTAGTACTTTGTTAAGACAAATGCCAATTTATTTATCTATTAAATAAATAAATAAATAATACGAATAAATGAAGATAACTATTGAATAGATAATTAAATACAATGAATAAATGAAAATAATTATTAAATAAATAAAGAATGTAAGATAAATGAAGATAACTATTGAATAAATAAATAAATACAACGAATAAATGAACATAATTATTAAATAAATAAATAAAAGTATTTGTAATAAATTTCTTGGTTCGAACAAGAAATTTAAACATCGTTAAATAAATTTAGCAAAATTCAACAAATGTAAAGATCAGAAAAGGTCTTGTAAAGTATTATAACGAGATATATAATTATTTCGAGAAACCCTAAAAGAATGATAGTCACTGGTTGGTTATATTAAACCAATTATATCTGACTGATCGGTGAACATGACACTGACAACGATGATACGCACTCTCGGCTCATTTCTCGTCCATACCACGATCTCAGAAAAATTAAAACTAAAAAAAGAGAAGGACATATGTTCTGCCGTGAAGATGTTTTATCGAGATTTCTCCCTTTGCCCCTCGATTCTTCTACACTGACACTTACAAGTCACTTACATATTCTAATCCTAAGTCTTCCAAATTAATCGATAATTATAATATATTTCTTCGACAAAGACGCGATTATTAAGAATTCTTTTAAATTACTATTAAAGAAAAAAGTTTGCAATTTTTAAAATATTGGAAACCACTATTTGTAATATATTATTAATATACAATATGTATGCTATTATTAATCCTTTGCACTCGATGATTTTTTGACTAAAGAAGAGTAGAAATTCAAAGATTCTCTACTAAAAAACTGACGATACTTTTTTCAGCAGTAAATAAAGAATTATATAATAACAGAATTGTAGAATTATTTAATTTCGATACCTCACACACTGTTACATTACATTAAATTTGATATATTAATTAATACCGATCTTCCAAATTTTATGAAATGGTGACTGAAACTCACCTCTCGAGTGCAAAGAGTTAATATGCATGCATGTTCAGATAACATTAAGTTAATTTGTGCAATTATAGAATATATTTTCATAAAATTTTACAAAATTTTTTACCATAATTGTAGCATTCTGTAGTTTCCATTTTCTTTTTCTATGTTTCGGAAAAATAATTCTTTATCTATTGCTTTATTCTACTTCTTAAATTTCACAATGAAATTTATAACACATTTAAATTGGTACTTATAATTTGGGTCACATATTAATATTAACGGGAAGAATACATCTTGGAAGACGGATATTTGACATAATATATTTATCAAATATACGTTTACTTTAATAACTTTGTTAAATAACGCGAAATTTTAAAATTATAGTAGTATATAGTTCCAGTACAAATAGGAAATACAAACATATGTTTCAAAACAGTAATAAATGATTATGATCTGTACCTACCTATTATACCGCGACTAAATTGATTATGACAAAAGTAAAATAAAATAAAAAAAGTCAAAAGTGCTCTGTTTCGAAAAGACTTGAAGAATTATAAATAAGCAAATACGTTAAGAGATTTTAGAAACCGAAATAGTAGTTTTATTTAATGTGAATCTATCGAAAAATCATTTTGCTATTATGTAACTCTTGGGTCAAACATTTAATTAATTTTGCATTGACGAAAACAAAATTTATATAAGTGTAGTCGATTATGAGCTAAAATATTTGAAACTGCTCGAGAAGAGACTTATTTCTTTTAATTTTATAATATAATAATAATATGAAATATCAAAAATAATTATATTACAAGTTAACGAAAATTTAATTTACTATAAGTTAACTTAAATTTATTTTAGAATATTATATGAGTTATTCTAATTGATAATGAAATAAACTTGGAATTAAAATAAAAATAAGTTGCCAACAATAACATAAATTCAAGAAAAAAATTTATGAAAGTATTACGGAAAAAACTCAATTCCTTAATAATATTTGATACGTATTATAAGATATATAGTATAAATATTAAATA